TCAACAGAGTTTTTTATTTTTCTTAATATTTCATTATTTTATTAATTTTAATATTTTAAATATTATTTTCTTTATATTTTTAATCTTCCAACTATTACTTTCACGTTTATCTACCTCACACCACTTTTTACTATATTTTTCTGCCTATACTTTATATTTTTCCATTCTTTATTCTTCAAATTCGGCAATCGACCACCCCTATTTGATCACCCATGATCATATCCGACAATCATTCGACCACTCGACTAGATCCGGTCACCCACACTAAGTTCGTGAAGGTTCGATCAATCTGGCCACAAATAACCAACTTAGCGGTGGTTTGAGATGTTTTGGCAAAAAATCGAGTTCCTTAGCTGACTCGCCGGTTCCCGGATTTTACTCGGTTGAACCGATGGTCATTTGACCGCAATTTTTAATTTTTTCGATTTTAAAGGTCAAATCGAACCACGTTATCGCCAGGTCACGGTCGAACCGGTCCGACCAGCCGGTTATGTCCTCTTCTAATAACATTGAAAAACCATTGAATTCTATTGTAAAAATAGTATATTAGTTGTTGATAACTTCATGACAATGTTTTCATTCTTCATTTTTTTTTTTCTTTAAATCAAGTATGAACGAGAAATAAGGAGAAAAACAAGGAGGAAATCAGGTAAGTAGTTGAGCACTCAGCTAGTATTTATTGAGATTGTGGGACCCATTTTCGTTGGAATCATCTCTGAATTTATATTTGTTAGACCCATTTGACCTAAAATATTGAAATTGAAAGGAGACCACGACAAATGCTACTAATTGCAATCTGCCCCACTCCACACAATCTAAATTAATTAATTAATTAAAGAAAATAAAAAATATATATATGGCCCACTCCACCAACTGAAGTGCATCATCTAATACCAGTTATCGGATCTATGAAAATTGACCAATACATATAGCTTGCATTAATTGTACATTTAATTATGGACTTACTTATGGTTTTGCCACCATCACCATTCACTATGTCAATATCATATCATTTGAGTTTTTTTTTTTATATGTAATTTAATGATTCTTCACCATTATATTATTTCTAAATTAAATACCGTTTTAGCAGCAAAAATAAAATTATAATTATAGAGTAATTAAATAAATTATATGATGTCTTGTTCTACAATGAATAAATTTGGGGATGTTTGGTTATGTTTCCAATGAGAATTTCTAGTTATCAAAATTTCTGATGCAAAAAGTAGTTTATTGGGTTTTTTTGTGTAGAAAATGAGAATATGTTTGGATGAAGGGGTATTTTTAGTTTTATGTAGGTGTAGAAATAAGAATATGTTGGTTGTGGTAAATTTTCTCTACGAAAGTACGTGCAAAAGAAGAATATAATGATTGAAGATGATAATAGTGATTATTATTATTATTATTATTATATTTATTATTATTATTATTATTATTATTATTATTATTATTATTATTATTATTATTATTATTATTATTTTTATTATTATTATTTTTATTATTATTATTTTTATTGTTATAATTATTAACATATTTACAGAAACGTCCAGATATGGTACATAAATGGTGAATAGAAACATTTTTTTTTTTCTCTTCCTATAATAGGAATCATTTCATAGTTTCCTTTAGTAGATAGGCATTTATATCAAACGTTCCCAAAAAAATAGATGGATTAATTGTTATAAATTTTATACCAACTTTGATTAGGTGTAATTTTTTTTTCCTGCTCATCAATTAGTCTAATATTTTTATTTCTTGATTCACATGCCTAGTATTGACTTATTTATATGCTACATTCGGTGAAAGCTATATTGAGTGGATTTTTCTGTTGATCTGCACATACCAATGTGGGTATGTGTGTTTGTGTGTCAATAAATGGTAAATATCTATTAAATGTATTTATTCATGCTGGAAATTAGATATTATGTCTGGTTATTTACACTGAGTGGATTCGAACCGTGGATCTACACATAATCTAACACACACACACTCACTATGTAGCACGAAAACTTCAACAAGTTAACGTTTCTGCGTTTAGGAAAAGTTTTGTGTCGGAAACTCGAAAACACATGCCGGACACT